TTTACTTGTAAAGCCTGTAACACAGTGCTTTGGTTTATGTTTCCACTTGAACGATGTAATACTTTTCCATGTCAGCCCTCCATAGTGTATCATTGACTAGGGGAAACTGAGTGCAAAAATGGTTCAGCTTTAACATTATCAATAGTTCTATCATAATTTATCATTATGATGAGAATTTAAGAACCTGATAAATTCCTATCTATAACTCATTTAAAATAGGCAAAGATCTATATGGTGTTGTTATTTTAGCTGATTTCCCTGGTGGGGTAAAGAAATTCTAATCTACTGACACCTACAAGCTCTTTCAGTAGCCTAGCTAGCTGATCGTAAAAACACATGAATGGCCTGTGGTTTTAATAAAAAGACTAATCAAAGGAAAAACGTAAGATATAGACATTGCCTGGGGTGAAAAGGAAATACTATTGAGGTATGATTGGAAAGAAAAATATGTATTTGTTTAAAGAGGCAATGCCACCTTTTATTTCAATATAATTTTTAGCTACAGTTATAAACTATTATCAAATGACTTTATGAAATGAAAATTCAAGATTTATATATTTATTTAAAGATGTAATACCAATTTTTATTAATAAAACTTATGTTGGTCACAATTAATAATCAAGATTTTTTTGTGAGAAATTTTTTTGTGAAAGTAGGAAAATTGAATTTTAACCAATGGTTAGCTTTTACTTTTATATACACCCACATTGCTTCCCAATTTGTATTTATAATGGGGAGACTGATAGCATCGATTTGCATCATTCTAATTTTTGGTCGTCTTTTGTTCTTGAATTTTCACTATAATGAAATCCTTGTAAAATTTCACACATTACACACTGTTCATTTCCTTATTCTGTTCCATTTTATTTCATTTCATTTCACACTGCAATAGAGATCAAATATAGGATTGTACCTTTAAGTATGATATATGACTGATATTGCCTAGTTTATTTTGTTTCAAGAGTGGTATATGATCAATATTGCCCTGGCTAGAGGGTCATTATAATAGAGATGAACTGATAATCTTCACCTGTATTGTTGGTTTGTAATCCTACCATGAGGTGTGATGTCTTCCCAAGCTGTGTGAACTCCCTGTGAGAAGTATTAATGTATTGAGTCTACATGAAAACACTGGTCTAGGACACAGAGGAATACATGGTGTGGGTGAACAAGGATTATTAATTATTTGAGACGAGTCTACATGAAAACTCTGGTCATTCAGGAATAAATATTAGTTGATCTTTAGAATTTCATTGTGTCATTAGAGTTAATTAACGTGAGAGTGAATTAGTTTAATGAGACAAGTTTTCTCGAAAGCACTGACCTAGGATACAGAGGAATAGATAGGTTTGATCTTAGGAATTTATGTTTCTAGCTGTGTTAAGATGTTTTGGTAGGAATATTTGTCACTGGCAATATAACAGGTTTTAAGGTTCATTTGAGATGAGCCTCATCGAAAGCACTGGCCTGGTCACAGAGCATTGAAAGGAAAACTTGTGATGGTTAGTTCGTTATTGTGGACTTGTGAAAAGAGAAGAGCTGTTGTGACCTATGTCAAATGGAACCCTGGATCTTCAGGTTAGGTAACAAGGATCCAACTCACTGAGTCACCACAAGTCTCTGTACCAGTATAGAGTTGTTAATAATAGTGTAATCTATAGGAACTAAAACATATAAACTAGTACTATCTTGTACATTAATACATGAAGATAGCTTGTCATATTTCTATCACTAAGTATTGACTTTTTACATGAATGTGATAAGTTTTTTTAAAACTATCAGTTTGAAACAGTAAAACCATCAGTTTGAAACAGTAAAACTATCAGTTTGAAACAGTAAAACTATCAGTTTGAAACAGTAAAACCATCAGTTTGAAACAGTAAAACTATCAGTTTGAAACAGTAAAACTATCAGTTTGAAACAGTAAAACTATCAGTTTGAAACAGTAAAACTATCAGTTTGAAACAGTAAAACTATTATTTGTGCGGTATGATGCTTCTTTCTTGGTAAACCGGCGTAGGTCCAGATAATACCTTCAGATTTTTCAACCCGGTTTCCCTCTGTGATGCAGGTAAGAGGGGCTGACATGGAAAAAGCGTCTAGTCGTTCGGATGGGACAATAAACCGAGGCCCCGTGTGCTACAGACTGTACATGTTAAAGATCCTTCGACAAATGGAAATCGAAAATGAGCAGGCAAATGCTGCTGTCCTGGCAAAATTTCCCTCATTGTACCCTGCATGGCGCTGCCCGTCTTCATTAGCCCACATGGTGCAGAAAAGTAGGACATAAAACTCCATTCATTTCATTTCATTTCTTTCTTGGTAAAATTTCCCTCATTGTGAGGGTATAATAGGAAAAGTTTGTAAAAGTAGAGTATACATTTCATTTTGAAGGTGTTTCTATTATTCCCAGTAAAATAGGTTTAAGATCTTATCTTAAAGCATGTGGTATAAATTAAAATATATGAATACAACTCTAGTGAAAATAGTGTTAGATTTTTATTGAGTGAATTGAATAACTGCAGTGTGGCTTTTTTTTAATGTCACCAAAATATCAAAATAAATGTCATATCTTTATTTTCAATGCTTTAAGAAGTAAGTAAAGACAGTATTAAATAGGTTTTAAGGTAAGAAAAAGAAACAGTAGAATGTGAAATGAGTTTATTGATCATAGAAAATATAACTACCAGTGTCTCTAAAAGTTTTATCAGTTTTTTCAAAAGTGATGTTTCTTTTACTTTTAAGTCTAACATTTTCAGACCTGGTTGAACTGTTGTTTTATTATGTAGGCCTACATTGAAGTGAAACTTGGAGTGTAAAAAGTGGTAGTTGACAGATTTGTGTCATAAAATCAATAAATATGATATAAAAATGACAATAGATTTATTATAGAAAGTAGATAAACTAAATCATACCATAGATTATTGATCAATGGCTACAATATTTAGAAACTATAAAGGAGGGGGAGGGGAGCAAAGGGAAATCTTATTATAGTAGAACTGTAAAGTGAATCAAGGAAAGATCAATATTATGAGGTGTGGCCAAGGACCAGCTGATAGACAGGAGTCTCAAGAACTGAAGTTGTTATCCTAGTTAAATATAGTTGTTTCTTGCTATATAATTCAGTATGCATGAGGAAATATCAGTGTCTGTGATTTGCCAACCAAGTCAGGTAGACGACCACACATGATTTAATTACACTCACCTTGAAATGATCTTGTTACAATTTCATTTTACTACAATACTTCAACATAGTAACAATAATTTATGAACAGGAAAACTTGTCATCTATTTTTTCTGCTCAAAAACACATATAATAGATACCTATTTAGGTACATTTATTCACGCTTTCTGCATCTATAAAACTCAACCTGTACACTCAATAAATCACTAAACGCCTGTCATTGTTCTACATTAGGAAGATTGGTAAAAGTTTGAATTGTTAGTTTTATTGATGAGTGAATTTACTAGGAATTACTAGTTAAATGTGAATAAAATCAATTTATATTATTGGTATATAGTGTATATAATGAGTTGATATGCTCTAGATATTATATTTTACTTATTTTCTGTGAGTTTTAGTCAGGAATGAGGATCAAATAGGAATATGAATATTAATAGTGTGTGTATTAATCTGTAATGTGTATTACAAGTGTATTAATCTGTAATGTGTATTAATCTGTAATGTGTATTACAAGTGTATTAATCTGTAATGTGTATTAATCTGTAATGTGTATTACAAGTGTTTTAATCTGTAATGTGTATTAATCTGTAATGTGTATTACAAGTGTTTTAATCTGTAATGTGTTTTAATCTGTAATGTGTTTTAATCTATAATGTGTTTTAATCTGTAATGTGTTTATTCTCTGTGGGATTCAAAACAGCGTTAGAGGGAAGAATTGTTGGTTACCCACTTCGAAAGTTGTTAACCCCTTCAAGTTTCAGATAAGTGGTTAATAAGATTTGGATATAGGGTTAGCTCTGAAAGGACATCTACTGGAAATTATAACACTGTAAAATTTTGTTAATATATCAGGATATTTTAAACCTTTTAAACTGAGTGTGAATAAAATAAAACACCATATATCCTGAATTCCTAGTAGTGGTAATTTGAATTTTATAAGTCACAGTCTTTTCAGGAAGGGATGTGACAGTAACATACACTGCCAAGTGAATGGATATGCAGATTTTTATTTCAGGTTTGATTATGACAATGCCATTTGAAAATTGTCAAAATCTTAACTAATTATCAAACCTTATTGACAGGTTTAGTTGAATTACCATAGTGTACAAATAATTAATTACAGGTTTTCAAGTTCTTGGGCTATGATTTTATTAGGTATAGATTGAATTTCATCTTATTCAACTTGATTGACAATTATTCAAGATTTGTGAAGGCCTTTGTTAAAATATCTTGGATAAGTTAAGACTTGAATTCTGTCAATTGTTGTGTTTAGTTGAGGCAGTTGTTACTTTTTTAAAAACATTTTGTCATATTTTAGATTGTAAGAAATTGTTTTGATTGTTGACAAGTTTGAAGTTGATCAATATTTTGTTCCATTGGAGGGATTGTAAATAGGCTTTCTTAACTTTAGTTGTATTTATAAAGGGGTTGAGATACCATCAACTTGCACCATTTCAATTTTCATTCAGATATCTGTAGTTCCTATATTTATAGAAATGTTTAACATTATGTGACATCACTATCATTAATTAATTAAAATAGCCACAGACATCTGACTGAAATACAGACTGGTGCTATCAATGCTAACAGTGTCCACAATACATATAGAAGTTTATAAAACATCTTTACAATCCCTTTATAGTGTTTGTAAAGCATCTTATTCTGTGAATCTTTCAATTTAATGTTTTTTTCTCCAGTGATTCTATGACTTGTGATAGATTGATATATTACGTTGATAATATATTCTCTAGTGAAAATGTGAGAAATGATTTAATGTGATTATTTGTGACAATTGGATTATGTGACTGATCTAAACATGGTGTGGTTTGCTTACACTGCCAATCCACTTCCTAATAAATGTGTTCAATATCTGGTCAAAGATGGAGGAAATAAAACATTTTCTCATCGTAAGAAGGTAAGCAAGTGAAATGTTAATTGTTGTAAAGAAGGTTTTGTTATGGGTATGGTGGGGGTTAGGGATAGGGTTGAATTTGATGCTTCCACTTGTACCATTCCATTTTTCCAGTCAGACATCTGTGGTTCCTGTAATTATAGGAATGCTTACGTATGATAAACATAATATATGATAATGTTACTACTGTAAAAGCTGTGCTGCTTATAGTATTGGAGACTCTTTACTATTGTTTAATCCCAGTAGTTTGAGTAGAATAGCAAGAACTACAGACGTCTGACTGAAAAGTAAAATGATGCATATCGATGCTATCAGTGTTTCCAAGTTTTAGAAAATGTTTTTGCAGTGGGACAGTAAATTAATTTATAGTCAAGCAAATACATTTCTGTACATCCCAGTTACAATCAAAAACATAAACAAAATAATACATATTATTTTGAGGTAGTAATTTTAAACTATCGTATATAAACAGGGCTAATAACTACTTAAGCTAAGATTCCATATACGCGTCATGCAGATGCGTCATGCGGACATAAATGGCCCTTGCGGATCCGTCATGAGTCAAATATGATTCCATATGTGCGTTAAACGTATGCGTTATCTTTCTTTTGACGCACGGACTACTAGACAGATGGATGCTTTGGTGCATAAAAAAGACAAAATACGTTACATTTGGGAGATCTCTGCACGGAAAGGCGTTCGGATGCATCAAAAATGGCTACACCCGGCAATTTTTTTTTTTGACGCATTTTGGAGAACATTTGACGGATACTGCTTCCGCACATCTGGAATCATACCCTCTTAAACCAACCATTGTGATTTTTTACGCATGATGGATCCGCATGACGTGTTTATGGAATCTTAGTTTTATTCTACCAAGTAGACTTTTAAATCATTACTCTTCTTTATGTTTTAAATCGTACTTGGATGTGCAAAAATGTCTCTGTATAGTGAACTCTGTATAGTGAACTCTGTCTGTATAGTGAACTCTGTCTGTATCTGTCTGTATAGTGAACTATGTCTGTATAGTGAACTCTGTATAGCGAACTCTGTATAGCAAACTCTGTATAGTGAACTCTGTATAGCAAACTCTATATAGTGAATTCTGTATAGTGAATTCTATATAGCGAACTCTGTATAGCGAACTCTGTATAGCGAACTCTATATAGTGAACTCTGTCTGACTGTACAGTGAACTCTGTCTGTATAGCGAACTCTGTATAGTGAACTCTGTCTGTATAGCGAACTCTATATAGTGAGCTCTGTATAGCAAACTCTGTATAGCAAACTCTATATAGCGAACTCTGTATAGCGAACTCTCAAACTGGAAACTTATGTCTTAAATAATGCTATCTATTTTAGATGTGGAAGTATTTATGCTTAGTTTACACATACTCTTCAGAAGGGAGGGAACTCTCACAGAAAGTATATATTCTAATTTTATAAATTGAACTGTATATTTCAGGTTCGGTGTGGAAGTGTGTATGTTACGTCTGATGATACAGCCCTACAAGTCACCAACAATATACTCTCTGCAACATGTTTAGCAGAGAAAAAGAAACGAGGCCATAAATTTACAGTTGCCATAGGAACTACACATGGGCATAGTAAGACCTTTTTTTTCTCATTTTTCTCAACGGTACATATAGCAAATTACAAAATTCAACCTTCCATAACTTTCCTTTTTGGCCAATACCTAATACTGTTATTGATGATGAAAATTTTGAGTTAGACAAATCAAAAGTAGACAACTGTCAGATATAAACATCTGTCTGTTCCGAAAACAACTATTTTTACACATATTCCTCTACTTCTAGATCCTTTTTCTTATTTCTTAAAATCTGAAAGAAATGACAATTACAGACATCCAGATCAAGACTAAAATTAGATATTGAGAAATAAAAAAGGGAAGAGGAGCAGACTATATTTGTATATAAAACATAAATGTATAATTTGTTTGTGGTCTGAGTCTATATTCTGTTTCACATTGGGGTTCCGGGCGTTAGATTTGAAATATTTTTAAAAAATATATTTTAAACATGGCCTTTGGAAAGCCACAGTTTTCACAATTTTTGGAGGGATCGTTCCTACATTTTTTTAACTCAAAGTGGACAGTGTCTTAGCTTTACATTGAAAATTATTATATTGGAATAAGTTACAATATACAAAATATTTCACTGTTCTCTAATACATTAACTGTTGATCATCAGAGAGTCTGGTTTAAGTAATGTAGGTCAGTTGACAGTTACAATATGGTTATTGGCTGGCCAGTGACAAAAACTTCAGTAAAATATTTGTTTTGTTTTCTTGATTGAGGGAGTTTTAATGACATTTTATCATGTATATAAACATTCCCTTCTCACTAATATCACAACTTCAACTATTGTACCTCCAAACAATTTCTCCTTTTTGTTTTTATTTTGCTGGTAAACTCAGTTTGGTTATATTTGTTATGTTCATGTTGTAGAATATACGTCATTATGTTGTTTTTATGTTTAGAAATGAATCCAGGGCCTTGTTACTGAATCAGGAATGTTCTGAGACGTCTGGAAGTTGATAAATAACCTTGAAGATGGTCCGTAGCTCAGTCTGTTAGAACATTGGAATTGCCACATCATTTGCTTGAACGCAAAACTTATTTTGGGCATGAGAAAATCCACAGTTTACGCAGTGAATGAATGTAACTAGGCATATCTTAGTTATTCCCCTTTAATATTCACCTAAATCAATTGTCTAGGTTAACATGTGATGTAGAGATAGTAATAATAGTGTTAAAAAGATGGTCTAGAATGATAGCTAGGCTACACACTCATTGAAGTTTAAAGGGATTGTAAAGGGGTTTTCTACAAAGAGCTCATAAGTAAAGAGACAGATCTAGGCCAATAAGTAATAGTAAAACAGCTTTCAAATCTATGTTTGTCCAGAATTATCTGCGTTTGAAAGAGTCGTCTTTTCTTGAGACACTGTCATATATGGGAAAGACATCTATAGAAACAGAAAGTGAAATACCTATTTTAAAGAAACTTTATGTGATTTTCATAGATCTCTAGTACTTCTGAAGTATTGTTAACATAAATTCAACACCCAAATCAACACCTGAAAATAGTAAACCTGTCCTTTTAATACAGTAATTTCTGTATTTCTATACAACTATTCCTTGAAAGTTTAATGATGTCACTATTGATAAAGATCCTAAGATATTATTAGAAACTTTTGCAATGGTGATGTCATAAAATGCAGAGACGTCTGACTGAAAATTAGAATGTTGGAAATTGATGCTATTAGTACCCCAATACATAACAAATGTGATTGCTTCTCTAAATACAAATTCAATACACTGCAACTAATTAATATGAGACAAACTGTTTAAATTACTGTGGTTGAATAGATGCAGGTTAAGGTCCGCTAGTGAAAAAAACTTTTGAAATAGCTTGTGGTGAATCCTTTATCAAATCAAAAAACTTCTTTAACTGGACATTAAATAAGCCACACCACATGACAATGGCTTCTTTATTGTTTCATACAGCTCACCACACTTGATTCCCCTGTTCGTGCCCTACGGCAATATTTTTAACGACCTACTGTATTAACTCAATGGTACATTTTCTTTGTTCGTCTGCATATCAGTTGACATTTGGAGAGTTTTTCTGTTCAGCTTTGTTTATCCCTGACCAGACGAGGGGGCTGAAACTGACAGTTGTTACAAACATAATGAATGGTTCAACTTGGTTAAAAGTTTAGATGTTTTTGGATGATGGTGTTTTTACATATTTAACTTGACATGCTGTATGATCAGATGGATGGTCTTACTTGCATTAAAATTTAGAAGGTATAGTCTGTTTTTTTGGATGGATGAGATTTTACAATACAGTCTGCAGTTCCTCAATCACAAGTGGACCAACTTGATTAGCTAGTGAGCTATCTTATTCTAACAGACATTAGGCCTCCTGTTTGTTCTAGAGATACTTGTGTTGCAACTTTTAATAGATAAAAAACAGTTTAGACTTGATTTATTCACAGCTTTGTTGTGCGCATTGTCTTTGAAATTTTGTTTGAAGGGGTGAAAGGCAGACAGATTGTTTTCTTTGGAGTTTGAATTCCTTCTTTTCTGAACCTGTTTGAGCAAATGAGAACTGGCAACACCATGCAGTGTGCAATGAGAAATGTTTTTTAAGTGTGCATGTTCACCTATGTTGATTTCTGGTTTTACTTACAATTGTGATTTTGGTGTTTATATATGAAATTGGACTGTAGAGCTACTGACAGTGTATTTATAATAACTGTGAGGTCATTGTAGCCATACTGTCAGGGTTGTAGAGAGTAAAGAATAATGGAAATTGTGCTGTCATCAGCTGGTCAGACATTAGGTTAGTACAATAGTCTACTTTTGTCATAGGGAAGACGATACTTGGTCGACCATCGGAAGCACTGGTCATGGCACCAGAATATTTCTTCTCTAAATGAGGATTCCAACCCACGGCACCTAATCACTGAGCTGACAACAATACAACTTGATACAGACTGAGCTATATTGTTTTAGCTTATAATCCTTTTTTAATATTTTTAAAATAATGTAGATGAAGATATACTGTAGTTCAATCAGTAAGAGCTTTGGAATGGTGTCATTAACTCTGTTACATGGAGTAAATGCTGCTTGTGGGACCTTGTGTCATTTAACATGAAAGTATGATTAAGTATGAATTTTGTTCATATTTTTCAAAAAAATGTTCAAAGGAAGCTGTTAAAACTTAAATGGACCACATAATTGTTGACGATTCTTTGTTAAGTAGTACATCTTAAGTGTGGTCACCTTTCAAATATTTTCAAATATAGAATGAGAAAGATTGTAAGGTATTTGGTGAAACAGAGGAAGTAACAATTTGACAATGTAGCGAGAAATAGAACGTTCTGTTGATTGTTGACATTGTTTACTTCACGTTTTTCTTCTTTGTTTACATATAGTTTACTTGAGAAGGCCATAGAGGTTGCTATTGTCTGATGATGATTTTCTCTAAAAAATGTTTATCAACTAGGATCATCTTTAACATTGTAACAAGTCATTTTTGTGACCAAGTTTAAAATGTTACAAGGAATTAGGAGTTGAACATATTAACAGTGGAATAGTTCAGTTGGTATTTGTTGTATTTAAGTGCTGTGTATTTGAAACCTCAAGGTAAGAACAATTCTGATGCCACAGCCATTGTCTGGTGTATTTCAATCTCTAAACAGTCATGTGAACAAGAATAAATGGTTACAATGGAAATGAGGCTTATTTTCCCAGTCTGTACCTGCTACACACTTATTTTTTAAAAAAAAACCACTAAATTGTAGAGAAATATGTCTGGTACTTGTTTGTGATATTTCAACTCAATATTTTGTGCCGTAATAAGACACCAAAACTATGATTGTCAAACGGCTCACTGAATAATTAATATACACTCATCTAGATTCATAGATATAAATAACATATATTGGAAAATATTTTCAGGTATATTTTAGGATGTTTTAATGATATTTTAATGATAATTGTGCATACTGCCCCTTTAAACTATAAATATCTGTGACCTTCTCAGTTGAAGACTTGATGTCACCATGACTGATTTAAAATGTGATTTAGAAGAGTAAAAGTGAGTAACGAAGTTGTTGGTAGGGGTAAGTTAGAATTAAGTTGTTGAAGTACCGATTAAAAATATAGGATTAAGTCAGGATAATCCACTGTAAGTAGAGGAATCAATATGTATAACTCCGCGTAATATCATGTCAAGTTTTACTATAGAAAACATTTTGGTATCAAGAATTATTGAAATGTGTAAATAATTTAAACTTTTTATTTGCTCCTTTTAAAAAGACTCTTATAATAAAAAAAAATATCAACCATAAGATGTAAAAAACAAGAGACCGGCAGTGGTTCAGTGAGTTAGCTACAAGGTTTAATCCTGGCATTGGTGAAGATAAGCAATTCATGTTTCTGTCCTGTCAGTGATACAGGTCTTAGTGGGGGACAATAAACCCAGACCCCATATACTATAGGGTGTACATGTTAAAGATTCCTCTGAAATTTGAATTCAAAAAAAGGTTGCTAAATCCAAAATCCTGACAACATTTACCTCAGTCTTTATAAGATATTTAGAAGTATCACAGCACATTCAGAAACAACAGTTTTTATGAATATAGAGTTCTATTTATTATTTAAACACATTTCATTACACATACAGGTAACATTTATATTTACCTCATTGCAAACTGCATGCCATTGGCTATCTTCATTAAGCCAAGGTGCAGAAAAGTAGGATGTAAAAAAAATCCTTTTCATTTGATTTCAATTTGAACTGGGATAAAAACAACCTAGGATATAAGCCTTGTTTTTTCAGCACAAGACAATATGCATGTGAACCGTCCAAGGTCAAACAAACTGTGCCATTGAACCTTTGTAATGAGTTAAACCTGTTTGTTTTAAAGGTTTTGATGACATAGAATTCAACATAAGGTGTCAGTCAATATATGATCTATTAAAGCTTGGTTGGGGTCGGTTATTTGATCAAAATTCGTTTTAAAACGTCACTTTATGGTGACTTAATGGATTATAGTGATTACTGTATGAAATCTGATTTAGTTGAAGGTTGATTCACCTGTATATATTTAGTATTGATTGATAGAAATGATCTTATACACTTTATAAAGTCAATATATTGCATAATTAGTGGATTGCATTTTGTTAATTTTTAATTGTGAATTGAATTTTATTTGTGGAATGTTTTTATATTTTATTAAATATTATATTTTTAAAAATCAGGGATATTGATTAAATTAATTTTAAAAATGAAGTATATTAATTAAATAAACCTGTTAATTGAATATATTAATTGAGTGAAATAATGTGGAAATATAGAAGACCTTATTACTCTTGTAAGTAAATGTGATCATTTTATTGCTCAACAATTTCTATAAACTAGTTTGGTATCTCTACATACCAAGAATTGTTGTATTTCTGTATCTATCTTTGAAAGTCCAGTTTCCTCCTGTCAGTGATGCAGCGTCTTGTCTTTCAAACAGGACAATAGACCGTGGCCCTGTGCGCTACATGCAGTGCACAGTAAAGGTCCCTTGATGGTTGAAAAACTAGGCCTCTGGGTGGGTAAAATTTTCTTCATTGCACACTGCATGCAGTGGTATTTCAGGTAAAAATAAGTTTGGGGGGAAGGGGTGTGAGCAGGGTGAGCAAGTGCCACAAAATTTTCCAGGGAGGCCACAGGCTATACTGTGTAAATTAATACAATACTGATTTCATTTATATACATCATTTATATTGATAAGTTATTGCCCTTGAGTTAGGAAAAACGCGTCATAATTTGTTTATGAACACAATAGAGACTACAGTTTTCAGCTGGTTTAAATGAAATTTTGTGTGATCATTTATATTGATGAGATCTTCAAATTCGAATTTGATGATCTTTCTTTGAACTTTTTTTGAGTTATTGCCCCTGACTTAAGAAAAACAATTCAAAATTTGTTTGTGAACACAATGGAGGCTATATATCAATAAATTCAAACTATTAAAATTTCTTTAATATCAGAAAATTCATACTTTAGTCACTAAAGACTGTTTTATCATTTCTGACAGCTGCCAGTGGGCGTATGTTACCTTGCCTGGCAAGCTATCTTTTAAAATACATACAAATATATATATGGTCAATTCAGAAACAAGTCTGGCTTATATAAATCTGTCTTGACCGTTCTTTAAAAACATAATAGGTGGAAAATATAAGAATTAATAGTTGAAGTATAAAGTGAAGTATTGTCGAAAATTGTCAACTGGTTGATAGTTAGGTACACAACATACACTTCAAGATTAATCAAATCGTTTGGATGAGGAGATGAAATTTTGAACAATGAAAAAGATGTTTGAATTAGTTTGTAGGAGATCTTTGTTCAAGAGGAAGAAGGTTAATGTTTAGATTGCGAATGTGAGTATATTTCTGGCAGTAGAGAAGGTAGGTTTCGGAGTCTTCATATATGTGGCCACAAGAACAGGAGGGGTTGTCAGATATGTGCATTTGGAGTTTGTGTGCATTTAGAGGGCTTTTATTATGGCGTAATCTGGTATGGAATATTTAAAAAGATTGGTTGCCAAGGTAATAGTATTGAGGGATAGAGGATGAAGACAGATATTTATTAAGACGTATTTTGAAAGTTGAGAGAGAATCGCTGTTTCTAATGTGATTTGGTAGGTTGTTCCAAAGTGGTATGGTTGATGGTAGGAAAGAGTTATTGTATGATACCGTGTTCCAAGGTAATGTTCTGAGTTGATGAGAAGAGCGAAGAGGGTAAGGATTGATGGTAGAAATGTCAGGTGGCAGCAGAATACTCAGGTACCGAGGCGAGGCGTCATCTTGTGGACCATTTTGTAAAAGAGTATTAATTTGTGCAAAGTACGGCCGTCAGATAAAGGAGTAAATCTGGATTCTTCATAGAGTATTGAATGAGAAGTTCCACGTACAAGGCCTGTTATTGATCGTATGGCGTCAAGATGTAAATTTTCTAATTTCATTGAATCTTTTAGACTACAGTTGTTCCAGACGACGTCAGCATAATCAAAAATGGGGAGGATAAACTGCTTTTAAAAGGTTTCCAAGGATTTATGAGATAATCTATATTTTAGAGAGGGAAGACAATCTATCATTTTGGAGGTTTTTGACACAAGGTAGTCTATATGAGCTGTCCATGTCCCGTCCTTACTGAAGATCACACCAAGGTCTTTGTGTTTATATGTGTCTATTATTGTATGAAAATTAAAATCAAGGGTAAAATTACAAGGCATATGTTTTTGAGAAAATGTCAAACTATTTGAGTTTTACTGTAAAGACTTTACATTCTTTTAAATAACTCATTGTCTTTTTACTGTCTTTTTCTTCATCCTCTCAAAGACAAAGAGAATAAAAAATAATTGATATTGTATTGAAGGTTGTCAGAATTAACAATTACTAGATTTCACAAGAGATCTGACACGTTAAACCTCTAATTTACTTATACAAATATTATCTTTAAAACAAAAGAGTTCTAGCTAGAGATATAATTAATAAAACACTTAGTAATTAGGGTGGGGTAATTAACCACTAATTACAGCTAGATCTTTGATCCTGAAAGGGTTAACAGTGTTATTTTACTCCTGAAAGGGTTAACAGTGTTATTTTACTCAGGGTATTTTTATATTACAATCTAAAAGTTAAAAAGCTTTCAAAAATGCAAAAAATCATGAAAATGAGAAGAAATGGTTTAAGTATTTAAAATTGATGCAGTGTTCTGTCATTTCCTGTATAGCATGAACCATGATGACCAATCCAATATAGTCCAACCAAATTTATGATTTAAAGAGATTGTAAAGAGTTTTTTTTTTTAACTTTTTACCTGGAACACTGATAACATTGTTTTTAACCATCAGAATTTAGTCAGATGTCTGTGGTTCTTGCAATTCCACTAAAACTAAGGGTTTTATGATGATGTATTATTTTATAAAGAATTCATGTTAAATGTCTATTACTACAGTGTGTTGGCTCTCTAAACTATCAAGATTTACATACCCCCATCTGACATTTATTACTTTTGATATTTAACCCTTTTATATACCCCATTTATTAACCCTTTAAAAACCCTTTTAGCTATTATCTAATCTCAATTGTCTGCTAATCAGTTATAATCAGATAATCTTTAAGGTGTTTTTCTGATATAATGGTCTGAATTAGACAATAAGCCAATTGTTAATTGGTTAACCTTGGTGGCCATTAACACTTTATGTAACACTCAATCTGATTGGACGATCTTAATGCATGCTACACATTGTTTTTGCAAGTTATTTTGTAATTTTTGATAACTTAAGTTGAATCTCATTTTATCAGTCTTAGTGTTGTGTGACCTTGGGTACAGACTATGTTGCTAAGACCAATTCAAGGGCTAGATTTCACTTGATCGGAACTGTTAGTGAAGTCTGCTATTTGTAGACATTCTTTGATAACTCAAGGAAAATATATTTGGAATTGAAAAGTTAATTAACCCTAGGAAGGGTAGAGATATATATTGAATAATTAAACATTAGTTTGCTGTAGACATTTAAGATTCTACAATATTACGACGAATATATATATTTGGAATATGAAAGTTATTTAAAATCTGAGGAAAGGAAAACAGATGACAGAATTGCATCAAAAAAGGCGGGTTAACTCTTGAATGAAACTAACTATTGATTGTGATATACAACCATTTCAAAGTACTATGTGATAAACTGATAAACATTTTCTATGTAATTGTTTACATGAAACCTGTGAAGAGGAAGAGAGGTTTTAAAAAGACACCTATGACTCCATCAACATGAATAATTGTTGATTGAAACTGACTGTTGATTGGATACAGAATCAAAGTACAGAGTGATAATTGTTTCATATTTTATCTGATTTATTATAAGTCAGCTTAGTATAATCTTTGATGTGTCCAGTTTAGCTCCATCTTTCTTTTACTCGTGATTGACGACAAATCACACTGAAAACTGATGACAGGTGTCACTTATTAATAGATGATAGAGGTTAAAAGCACTGGGTGTGGAAGTTTAATCTAAGTACACATGCAAAAATTCATCATTGTGATATTTTTATCATTGTATATAGTGATAGGACTTGAAAAGAGGAAACACAGAATATTTTCTTACCTTAAAGAGAATTAGAACCCATACACCTAATGGCCTAGCAGACGACAATCAAACTTGCTAGTGACTAATCTATTCCACCGCCCTAGCAGACAACAATCAAACTTGTTAGTGACTAATCTATTCCACCGCCCTAGCAGACAACAATCCAACTTGTTAGTGACTAATCTATTCCACTGCCCTAGCCGACGACAATCAAACTTGTTAGTGACTAATCTATTCCACTGCCATAATTTTAAAAAACATTTGAGAAAAGTTTTTATTTTCTGACAAGCATTGATTTTGGTGACTTACAAAAATGAGTCATTGGTCTGTCCCTAAAATTGGAGACATAGCTCCCATTAAACTGAATAATTTTGACAAAAGATTGGAGACAGATGGTGACAAACATAAGATGACTTTTGGTTTGGGAAAAAAGACACAGTCTCAGAAACAGACCTCCAAAAGTTTGGTCACACCAAAACGTGATAGTAAATACAGTCCAGAACTGGAAAGAGTCTTTGACAGACAGAAAATTTTGATAGATAAGACAGAAAATTACTGTAACCAATCTTTTGACCAGCTTTTTGATCAACATGGTGTCTTAGTGGATGGAGGTGATAGACAACAAGACAGCAGTGTGTCAGAAAACTCTCAAAGGGTAACCAAAAGTCCCGAAAACAAAAGTTCTGAACTAAACAAAACTTGTCAAGAAAGCTCTCAAAGACAACAAGGTAGTAGGAGGGCTCAAAACTCAAAGGAAAAGAAAGTGCTTGGGTCCTCTGGAAGTATAGATCCAAACAGGCATCTAGAGAAAGACGATATCAAAACTGGCCCTGTCTTGTGTGAGACATCTTGTCGAATCTCATTAGATGCACAGATTGGAAAACAAGAAGTTTGGAAAACAGACATCAACATAGTATCTCCAAACAAACAAATCCAGAGAAGTCAGTCTGCTAGAATTCCAGCTATGGATAAGTTTAAGAAAGATCGTCAACGCACCTTGATCAATCAGAGTGATGGTCTTTCAGAAAGAAATGGTCTAGATGAAACTGAAAGTAAAGGAGATTACTCACCAAGACCAGGTGGTAACAACCTCAGAAATAGAGTTCTTCAAAACAACTTTTGCCGACAATCTGCCATGGACTTGTCAGTGAATGCTACTAGCAGACATTCAATCAACAATGTACGACATTCCTACAGCAGTGACCGATATTTCAAAGCTTTAGATGAACCAGACAGTTTCACATACTTTACAAAAGTCAAGTCATCAGTGGATGAACTCAGAAGACAAAAGAAATTGAAAGACAGCATCTGCTCACAATCTTTAGATATCAGCAAGGACAGATCCGAGGTCTTAATCAAACACACTGACAGAGTTTCAAATTTCAAAGATAGAACCAGTAAAGTTAATTCTTCTCTAGACAATTTGAGGAGAAGTGGACTTTTGGAAGATTTTTATTGCCGTCGGTCGATGGACAGCTTCTGTAGACAATCTCTAGACACGAATACCGATAGACAGGATGTCTTGATTGAGAACACAAGTGATAGTCCTCCGCTAGACAGTGATCACACACACATATGTAAGAATGAAAGTGAGAACAATACATTGTATACTAGACCAGAAATGGAAGAAAGTAACGAGGCATGGAGAAAGCAGGAGAACTTTGACTATCCATCTATGAGTCCCAGTTCCCAGACTCCAAGACCAGTTACAACAAAATGTGATAACTTCTCCAGCAGATCTTGTAGACAGGGGAAGTTGGAATATGTAAATGATGATGTCATCATTGAATTCAGTGATAGTGGTGAGCCACCAGACAGCTGTAAAGATGTAGATATTCAGCAGTATGACACCCCTAGATATGTAATTGACAGTAGTAGACATGTTGTAGACACTAGTAGACATGTTGTAGATCCTAGTAGTTGTGAACCAGACACCTCTAGATATCTTATAGACACCGGTAGTAGATATAATGAATACACTTCTAGACATGAGATTAACAGCGGTGGACCTGAACCAGACGCCAATAGTCATCACATAGACACTTGTAGAAATAATACAGACACCCCTAGACAGTTCATAGACATCATTGGAGCTGAATCAGAAGCCCATAGACAAATTATAGACACTGCTAGACAGGAAGAGTCTACAGACATACCAGTCTCTCAGGATATAGATCAATATGATAGACAAATGTCTGTTAATAATAATGATATTGAAAAAGTTCAGTTTTGTTTGGATGTTATACAACAGTGTGCTGGACAGGGTAAGATTACTCTTCCTTTTATATTCCTTAAAATATCAGATAAACTTCCAATTATCACATAGCTTAAAGGGATGGCGACAGGTTTTTGTATATTTGTTATATGTATAGTGGATATCATAGATTTGTACCATTTCAATTTTCAATCAGACATCTCTGGTTCTTGCTATTCCAGTAAAAGTAAGCTTTCTATGATGTCACTATTGCACTAGTTCCTTAAACACTATTAGAACCATTAGCAATGGTTACATCATAATTGATTAAGCATTTTTATAATAACATGACTAACATACGTCTGACTGAAAATTGTTTGGTGCAAATCAATGCTATTTTATACTTAACAATCTCTTTAACTTGAAAATATAAACACTAACATCTAATGGCCTAAAGGAATGTGCTTTCAATTTATATGGCATATTAATCCATCATTAAAAGATATATACATGTATTGAGGTGCATTGAGTTAACATGTTAACTTGTACACTTAGATTGAAGAAGTTTATACAGAAATATATAGTTATTGACCACCTGTTACTGATGAAATAGACCTAAATGAGATAAGGTACATCTTGGTGCCAGGCCACAGCTCGTTAGCCTTGATTACTAGTGATTAATTAGTTTCTGATATCTCCTGGAGTCTGGTTGAGGTTTATCTTATCATTGTAATTAGAGGTGGGGCTGTGATTGGAATAAACTCAGTTCTATATTCATTTAAACCCAAATATTTAATGATACTTTTTTATTTTATTTTACTTATCTAATGACTATAGTGCAGATGGTTAAGGTGTTGGAATTTTTACATGTCATTGGTTTGGTAATGCCAGTGTGTTTTAGGGATTAAAAAAAAATCAGTGAAGAAACACAGGTGTTACATGTGTATATGAGGGTCTAATAACAACTTCAGTAGGGATTTACAGTGATGAAACTCTGAGTTACAACATGTTTCAGGTTCTATTTTAATATTTCTGACCACAGTGGAAACAGGGTGTTGAATATTCTATTCTCACTAATTAATGTAGTGATAGAGAGGAGAAGACAGTTGATATAGAGGGTGGATATTAGACTTCATATAAACTATAAACATTACAAATTATATAAATACCATACACTAGAGCTTTCATAAAAATACACCTTTCTATTTACATACATTGTTATATTCAGTTATAAAATATTCATTGTATCTGTAACTTTAAATAGATTTAATATCGTATCTCATTGTTTACAGAGGGAGAAAACAGATTATAAGAAAGAAACTCTCTTCTCTGATTTTTATGATCAAGTAATGAATTCTGGGTTGTGATAAAGTTAGCTTGATTTTAGACAAGTGATGAATTCTGGGTTGTGACAAAGTTAGCTTGATTTTAGACAAGTGATGTATTCTGGGTTGTGATAAAGTTAGCTTGATTTTAGACAAGTGATGAATTCTGGGTTGTGACAAAGTTAGCTTGATTTTAGACAAGTGATGTATTCTGGGCTGTGATAAAGTTAGCTTGATTTTAGACAAGTGATGAATTATGGGTTGTGATAAAGTTAGCTTGATTTTAGACAAGTGATGAATTCTGGGTTGTGATAAAGTTACAATGTTTGAAGTGTCAATTGTGAGAGAGTTGTTAAAATCAAGTAGTGTATGAACCTTTAAATGCAAAGTACTGGACCAGTCCAATTTTCCCGTCTGATTCTTGGAATTCCACTAAAAGTGTAATGATGTCCCCTAGATATTATTTATTTACAATCTCAATATGTTGAGCACAATCAAACAGGCTAAGATTTCTAAGATTTATATTTCAACTGACATGCAGCAACCTTGAAATTTCAATACAGGTTTTAGTGTACATGTATATATATAATATAACTGATATTAAGGATGGTAAATATGATAATATTATTAGGAAGGTGGTAATGATATTTAAAGGTGTGCTATCTCTTATAATAAACATAATATATAAATTCTCACTACATATGCAAACTTCATTCAGATTTTATCAATTCCTTACAAAGAAAACAACCTCTTAGAATGAACTTAAAATTTGGCCAAAAAGATCAGAAAAGCATTGTTCAATAAGAACTGATTTTAATTTATCCATTGAGTAGACAGAGATTCTGTGGTATAGTTATAACATAGGAACTCCACTGATGAATATACACTGTTATTGACCAAGTTTGAGAAATTAAATTTTATGTTCATTTTAAGAGGTAGTATACCTTTAAATGATATTAAAACATGTTATATTACTTGTTTGTTAAATCTATGTTTTACTGTACTGTTATGTTATTCCATTATGTATTTAGCTTAGTTATACCAGTTAGCTGTCAATATGGAATTTAAAGGAGTTGTAAACTTTGTATGTGAATTGGGTCCATTTAGAAAGATAAATAGAAAATTAAGGGAATATAAAAGATAGAAAGAATATGTTGTGAATATGCTAGTATTGATAGGGGGTGTAATACAGTATATTTGTTATTATAAGATTATCTATTTTCAGCTCTCAATATATAGATATATAAATGTGTAATTGAAATGTTTATGATTATTTCAGTTCAAGCTTTTCTAGCAGACACAGATAATGTACTCTCATCTTTAGACAGTTGCCAAGTTGATGAGAAATGTTTAATGTTAATCAAACGACCTAAACATTCAGCTAAACAGGTACGACTTGTTTCTTAGTTTATTCTGATGTCAACTCCATATAATTTGGCATAATATGCTTTTGTTTATTGAGATTGTAAAGAGGTTTTCAAAAAATTTTTATGTGTATCAGGGACATTGACAACATTAATTTGCACCATTCCAATTTTCTGTCTCTTTTGCAATTCTACGATGTAGTTCATTATGAGGTTTTTGTGATAAGAACATCATAAAAGGCTAAGTTTAAGTGGAATTGAAGGAACCACAGACTTCTGATTGAAAACTGGATTGATGCAAATCAGTGTCCCTTTCACACAGGTTTATAATAATCTTTAAGAGACCTTGAAATGTTGTGCTACTGTACTTGAAAGTTTAACTTATAGAACTTGATTTGAATGTTTTAGTACAGTTGAAAATTGAGTCAGCCAATGCCACTGTAATGTCAAATTTTCCCTCATAGCACATGTTACCAGTCTTCATTAGCCTGAACATATGTAGAAAAATAAACCCCTGTTTCATTTCATATATATTTTATATATCTGTGGTACTATTATTTTAGATGTTGAAGGCACATAGTTGGGCTAATTTGAGTGTGTCAGATACACATTTAAATCTTCCATTAGATGGTGGTGGATTCACTACAAATACTACCAGTACTTCTAAGTATCCTAAATTTAAGGTAAGTTATATTATGATATATTGTTCATACCAGAAGACAAATTACAGTCTAACTTGTACTAGAGGTCACCTGTTATTTGGTGCTCAGTGAATGCCAAGTATGCTCGCTAACCTGAAGTTGCAGGATTCAATCCTGACATAGTACCTTCAGATTTTTCAACCCGGTTCCCCCTGTCAATGTTGCAGGTCAGAAGGGCTGACATGTACAAAGTGTCAAATGAGACAACAAACCAAAGCTCAGACAGCTACAGAATGTACATGTTAAAATCTCCCAGTTGGAACTAGAAAAAGTTGTAGGTCTCTGCCACTGTACTAGCCAAATTTTCCGCATTGCACACTATGGCTTTGTCTGTCCTCATAAGCCAAATCAAGTTCATAAAAGAAGGACATAGAGCTTTCTGAAGGATTATGGGAGTAATACTGTAAAAGGATTAAGTTGTAATAAGATTATCCCTAGATCAATTAATATCACCTATATATATAAGAAGTACTTTCCTATCTAAGTTAAATAGTACAATCAGGTAGTTACAATGATGTATGTTTTATGTAGAAAATGTTTTTGTAACTAAATATGAAAGATATTGATATTTTGTTGTTTAATTTTCCAAAGCTTAATGTGATATTATTTGATTGGATTGTTTAGATGTTTTGTGATAATAACTATACATTGTAATATTGAATTGAAAACATTATTGTGAAATTAAATAGAGTTTCAGGTTTTATTTTTCTTCACCTAGATAAATAACACCATTCAGTTTTGGGAAGAAATTTTTCAAGAATGATTGCCTACTATTGTTCCATTCCCAACTGTCGAGGTATCTTCAACGTGCACAGCTTGTAGCTCATGGAGGCTTATATACAAAACAACTGTGTTGTGGGTGTCAAGTATGAAGTATGAAACAATTTAATAACGTTATATATTTATATAGTTTAATATTTTTACTTTCAGTGGAGAAGAAAGGCAGACCAACAATCTGTCATGTCAGAAAATGATATAATTCAAGATATTCGTGATGGATTTAATAAGGAGAATATTCGCAGATATAATAACAGGCCTAGTCCACGAGCTGTCGTTCCCCCCATGGTCAATGGAACACAGTCTCTAGATCGCCAATCAGCAAGCAGACCAGACCTTAACCCATCAAAAGCTTCGGAAATAAACAATAACAAATTTACGAATAATCGTGACGTGTACATGTATCATAGTTGTTTAGATATTTCAACCATGCCAACAGTGCATGAAACTGAGGCTGAAGCGTCTGCTCGTCTCCAGGACAACCAGGCTTACCGAGGACCGGACGTCAAGCCAACTGAAGAAGTTGATGTTTCTAGAGCTCAGAGTCTTGGAGATTTAACTCAAGGTCAAAGTTTGGCGTTATCTGTGGCTCCAGAACGAAAAGCTGGCAGCATGATGAATTTGTCAAATGTTCCGCCACCACGGGCCAAAAGGCGGAATCGTGCTCCAAACAATCATGAGCGTTACAACACCTTGGAAGTGTTTCAAGAAATCCCAGAACATTATTCCCAAAAAATGAATCTTTCAAGTTCTAGTGACTATAGTTACAGTGCTTCCAAATATATAGAAGACATTCCTGGAGAAATATCGCCTTCGAAACAGAAACGCAGTCTACCTCACGTGCCTACAGTTGAAGCTAATGAACGTATTAAACGCTTCACAGAAATGATGAAGGCGCGAATGGCTGGACAGAGTAGAAATAGTTATCGAACTCAATCAGAAAATTCCTATTATTCAGACAAGGGTAGGAACATGTCGTACACTGCAGATACACCCTCTGATAACGAAGTTAGTGAACTCTTACATCCAATATCACCAATCAAGTGCAGCCCGAGAAATACCAAGTGCAATAACACATTACAGAGAAAAACTCTCGATTCAGGGAAAAGTAACTCTTACAACGAAAGACATATTGCAAATTCACAAGCCCATCAAAATGCCTATATACAGACACCTTTGTCTCCTGGTGACCGTAGTCATGACTCAGGGCAGATAACTCTCTTGTCACATTGTAGCACTGTGGACTCTGGATACACTACAAATAATGATTGTGAATATGAATATGGATTAAGTAACGGAAATATTCCACCGAGGTTACCGCCCAACCTGACGAACTCTTATCCCACTTACTCTTCTCCAAAGAAATCTTACAATGATTATGCCATGGTGAAATCCCCAAACCATCGAAAACCAGTTATCAATGGCAACTACAGAAAAGAAAGTCATGAGAAAACTAAGCCTACCACTGCACCTAAACCAGTGCGAATTGAAACACTGCCAAATCAACATCGACCGAATGATCTAAAAAATTATCCACATCAACGTAGAAGTTGGGATCCTGCCATGCCATTAGAAAACAACAATCATCTCAATCAGCATCATTCATTAGTCATAAATGGCTACAGTCATCCAGAGACAGAAATAAATGGCAACAATATTAAAGATGGCTATACTAGTAGTACTCTTCCTGGTCGGTGGAAGTATCCAAATTCACCAGACCATATCAAAACTTCACCAACTCTCGCCTCACCAATATCCAAATACCCCACAATGTTTCAGCTGGCACAAAGCTACAATTTCTTTCCTGCTAAAGTTTCCTTACCAAGCGTGACCTTATTACTGGAGTCAGTGGAATTTAAAGATGCCTTAATCGAACTTCCAGAAGGTTGTTCTTCTGACAGCTCTTCCAGTCTTCCTCAAGGTCGTCACACCAAGCTTGGGGGTCCAGGGAGTGCTTTCCGTCCTGTACGACCAGCAAGTATTACCCCACCAGTCGGTCACATGGTAGCTATCTGTAAGCTGACTGAGGATATCAGACGAGCTTGTATTATGGGAGAATTAAAAGAAGGTGATATACTTATTGAGGTAGGAATATAAATATGATATTTAAATACTTGTCATCATCTATAACTCTAATCAATGAATTCTGATTTATGACTATATTTTGGTGGTTTTCAATCAGTAAAACTGTTTAACAGTAATATTTAAGAGATGTTTTATGTGTATTTGAGCCAGTTTTTTCATTATTGACACATATTGAATCATTTCTAGATTTACGGTGACTGGGGTCCTATGTTAAATATCCTCATATAGTGTTTGCCTACTTTCAGACCACATTAAGTGCAAACATTGTATATTGTAGATCAATGGTCAACCATTGTTAGGGGCTGATGTACGAATTGTGAAGAAAAATTTAGAATTATGTCAAGGGGACGTAACTCTTACTGTTGCTCGAGCTAAGCTACCTATCCAATCAGTGGTGAGTTTTTCATGGTTTATCGGTTTAATAGTTGTTAATGACCATTCATTGATTATTTCTCGAGTCTAATGCATAGCTAGATATTACAATTGTCAGAACAAAATAACGATATTTCAGTTTCTTGTATATTGCCTAGTGACATGAATTCCTGGAAGAAATCCTATTGAATTATATTATTTTATATATTTCAAATACTGAATGGGTATAATCCAGCTGGTTTATGGTAAAACTAATTTTTGGCTCATGACACAAATTGTGAACACTATTATTTATTAGCTTAGCTCAAAAATTTCTGTTCTGCCACTCAGGCGCTATTGGTCAAACAGATGACAAACCTGTCCTTGTAAATATTTAAAATTCAACCTTTATCTTTTTCAGAATGAACAGAATTCCTATGACACATTGTCCAATAAACTAACAGAGTTGGAAAAACAAATGAACAAATTGAAAGTAGAGATGAAGAACAAAGACTCCAAAATAAAACAATTAACTGCCATGATACCTCCACAAAGAAATAGTTCACCTATTAGTGATGTAGGAATACCTAATTTTGACAATATCGTAATCAGTGATGATGAATTTATTGTGTGAAAAAATTCAGGGCAAAATTTTGAACATTGGTCAAGGTTCTATTTTCCTAATGTTTATGCACTTAGCTGTAAGCTGAAACAGTTACCAAAGTCATTTATCATGCATTTAAGATTAAGGCCATCTGAACTGTGTCTTATACCTTGACATTATTAGGCTCTTATTTGTATCATTCAAGTTGGTCAAAGGAATGGAGTTGATTGTAGTGTTCACAAGCGAATATATTAGTTTTTTGTGTTTTCTAACGAGGCATTTGATTCTATTCAACTGTCAAAATGGAGAGTTTTTCGAACAAATTTTTCTCATTTTACTAAAGATTTCCTTGGGAGAAAAAAAACTATAAATGACTGTATAGAGAAATTTTGAAAGTACACCTATTTGTATGTGATATCAGCTTTTGAGGATGTTCATCTATTAACTATCCAAGGGAGATAAATGGTAAATTAAAGTTTATGACTTTCAAACAAGAAAAGTGCTAAACATTCAACTTGATATTGTGAAGATGCTATAAACATTCATGATACAAGAAAAGTGTCCAATAATGTCAAGGTATAAGTCATTATGAAGATGAAACAATGTCTATAGTATATCTAGATTTTAAACTGAATGAAGAAATGAAACTGTTTGTTTGTTATTGGAATATTGTTGTGTTATTGGATAAATTTTTACATACACAACACAACTAGACAAATTCTAAAATAGAATAAAACATGTCAAGTTATATACAAAAATATGAAAGAGAAATTTTTCATTTGATGAATTTTTATAACAATTTTGTATTTGATAAGAATTATAACAATTTTACATGAGCATTTTAAAAATGAGTTTACATTTACATCCTTGTTTGCACCATGTTGGCTGAAGACATAGGAAATTTGAGACTATTTGACATTTTGAGTAAAGGAAATTTAATATTTAGAGTAATAATTGATGATTATACTTCAGTAGATTGTGTAAGAAATATTGTTATTGTTTTTTATATTGATAGAGTTTTCTATAAGTTACAATATATCTTATATAAAATGTTATATTCTATGTGTTATGTGGCCTTTGATGATTTAACGGGGCAGTATGCAAAATTTTTATTATTAAAATCATTATAAATTATATATGAAAAATATTTCTAAATATTCTATTTACTTCCCACCTATTATAAAAATCAGACTGTCCCTGTATATAAAGAAGATATGTGTGAAAGTCAGTAGTGGTGAATTCTAATCTAATTAAAATAAGATTACTATCCATATTATTTTGGTTCTCCATTGTAAAAAATGATTATAATTAGATTAGTGTTAGAAATTTGGCTTGAACCCCCACTTCATTTCCTAGAAATTTTAATATGGTATTTATACACTTACGTTAGACATTACAAATAATATGACTGTCATCTTGATAAAGGGCTCCAAACCTGGAGCTATGTAATTTCCTGACATATGGAGATTGGAATTCAACAAATCAATTTCATCTTAAATATCAATTTAAATGAAATTTGGTGTGATTTATAATGATGAGATCTTGGACACTTTCGAATTTGGCTATCTTTCGATGAATGGTTTTAGAGATATTGCCCTTGATATATGAAAAACACGTCAAAATTTGTTTGTGAAAACAATAGTGACTACAGTTTTCATCCAATTTAAATGAAATTTGGTGTGATCTATAATGATGAGATCTTGGACAAGTTCGAATTTGGCTATCTTTCGATGAATGGTTTTAGAGTTATTGTCCTTGATTTATGAAAAACGCGTCAAAATTTGTTTGTGAAAACAATAGAGACTACAGTTTTTATCCAATTTAAATGAAATTTGGTGTGAATATTTATTATGAGATCTTGGTCTAGTCTGAAGTTGGCTATATTTCGATGAATGGTTTCTAAGTTATTGCCCTTGATTTATGAAAAACCCGTCAAAATTTCTTTGTGAACACAATAGAGAGTACAGTTTTCATCCGATTTAAATAACATTTTGTACGATCATTTATAATGATGAGATCTTAGTCAAGATTTAATTTGACAATTTTTCGATCAACTGAATTTGAGTTATTGCCCTTGACTTAGTAAATACTCATCAAAATTTGTTGGCCATAGAGGTGACAATTTATGTCAGAATTTTATTACATAATGTGTCTTGTTTAAATCAACAATATCTTGCACAAATTAGATTTTTGGTATGATTTGACACAGATAGGTGACCGCCCTTGATATACTGAAAATGTATCAGGAAAGTGGGCGTATCTTGCTAGGCAAATTTAAAATTTGTTAATAATGAAAGTGAGGATGTAAACCACTGGCATGACCACTTGTCTCCAGCAGAAACATGTACCAGCGCTCTACCACAAATTTAGCTCTACGGAAACTGTCGAGGATTGCTGAATGATCAAACAACTACCCTACAATTCATTACTCACTGAACGGTCGTGATAAAGTGGGAATGGATGATAGAGGCTAAATACTCATGCACGTGCAATATAGGTCACATGAACTCAAATCGCGTTAAAAAAAATACATTTACAGAAAATCCCGGGTCTGACGTGTTTACTGACGTACTGACGTGTGACGGAGACCTTACTCGAAAATCTTTGATGATGGCTGGTCATAAGTATTAAAAATATACATGTCCCAGGTAAATACTATTATTATTACTTCAATTCTTTGTCAATCATTTTAAACTTCAATGATTATTGATAGATATTAAACACAGTTCATGCCTATTTAAATTGCTTTTGTCAACTTGTTGATTTGATTGGTGGATTGTAATTTGAATAGATAGGTCTACATGTCAAGTTTTCACTTTGCAATAACACAAAATGGCTTATTTCAAGATGTCGAAAATTTCAACGAACGGAATCGTAATAATAAACATTTTTTTATAAACAATATTTTATTCAATAAAAGAAAGTGATGAGAAATTGACAAACTAAGAATTTTACTCACTATTACTATACATGTCTTTTCTATATATCACAGAGTATCTTAAAATGACGAGTCGTCAATCTTAACATTCTTAACACTATTACTGAATAGCTTAACTAAAAAGTTCTCGTTTTTGAGACTAAAGTATGATTGGTCAAGAAGAATGGCGCACTACTCTCTGGCCACATAGAGTTCTAAATTGAATTTTTTCTCTCATGTCACAAATATTCAAAATATGATTTTCAAGTTCATACCAATAGTCTTAGAATGCCTTTGGTAAATATGGATATTGTACAATGTCAAGATAACATTAGAATATTATACCGGTAATAGATTAGATAAATACATGCTATGTTGTTATATGATATGACATACATTACAACATTATATTCAATATACTTGCTTTAACGTCAAGTGTAAGCTTACACATTATTCAGCAAAATTTTGACACACTATCTAGGATTTATCTCGTTTTTGTTCAAATTTGGTCTCCGATATTGGTATCAAATTGCTCGTAAATGGGAAATCTATGAAATCGCTTCAGTGGAAATTTTTCAAAATTGAAAGGAAAAAAGTTCTAATTAAGGGCGCCCTAACCCCCGCCACCCAGCCAAACCAAGGGTTACAATTTTTTTCACAACTAATACTCCAATATCTCATCAAAAATTAAGATGGGATCTCAGTGGATTCAGGTGGGATTCAAAGGTTCATGTTAGCGGGAACCTCTGCTGGGTCCATAAGCAACTAAATAAAAATAGCACAAATTGGCCAATTTCGTGGATCAGCACATATCAATCTTCGCTAAATTTCTATGTTAAAGCGACAATTAGTGTCGTATGACTTCAAGCAGTAAGATTCAAATAATTAGCAGCGAATTTTTCTATGGCAATTCTATCATATTTGCCATTGTTATTCAATGGAATATCTCTGATGTTAATATAATATTTAGGGTAAGCCGTGTCTTCTACAGAGTTTTGTTTGAGGAACTTTTTCTTACAGAAATTCTCAACCGTGTGCTCATTGATCTCAGCGTCTTTATCAGACACGAAACAAACACAAATTTCATGATGTAGAAGCTGGTCGGGCACTTTAACTACAATGGCTTCCAAGACTCCCAGACACTCCTTGATGATACTTTCAATCCATGACGGATGGTAGTAATTTTCTCCTCGTTGGATGATATCCTTGATTCTTCCGTAGGTGACCAGCTCCCCGGCATTGTTCAGATAACCGTAGTCTTGAGTCAGGAAATATCCATCCTTGTTAAACGATTGATTAGTTGTCTCTTTGTCTGCGATATATCCTTCGAAAACACCATTGCTTTTTATGATGACGTGGCCACACACTCCGCTTGGGACAGGGTTGCCATACTTGTCAACTACGCGGATAGTTGCCCCTAAACGCGGCTCTCCGGCATTGTACTCTTCATAATCCACCTTCTCTGTTATTTCTTTGTATGTCACATCACAGACCTCAGACGTTCCGTAAACGTTGTAAATTGTCTGAACAAACGGACCGAGTAATGCGGTAACGCTCTTTCGCACTGGCTGACCCGTAAGAAGAACCCGATCCAAGGGCCATCCTTGATGATGTTCCGTCATCTTGAAATTGGAATACAGCTTGTAGCAATGCGCCACAGAAGACACCATGATTCGGCAGTTTTCAGCCACGACACTCTCGCGAACGAAATCGTAAAAATCCTCCTCAGAAATCGAGTACCTTTGATCTATGCAAACACGTTTCTTGCCAGTTCCAAGGTACCAACTGGGCAACCCACCAAGCCAACTGATCGTATGGCAATTGAACATAGCGTCATCTGAATACATATCATCGTGGAACTGTGCCATAAACCTGCACGTGTAAATGAACGTACGATGGGTGTGAAGAATGAGTTTTGATATCCCTGTTGTTCCAGATGACAGGAAGATTATAGCGTTCGTATTTCCGGTTACAAATTCGCATGCATCATCGGTTTGGTCAATCGTTCCCAGCTCTTTTTCCCAACTGAAACCAACTTTCTCACCTTCCTTACGGTCGGTTACATAAACCACATTCTGTAGATACGGTAGAACTGTTGACGTCAGTCTATTAGTAGATAATCTCTGAAAATTTGGGGATAGAATTCTATTGGCGTCATCATTTGGTTCCGGTGACATCAAGATGGTTGCACATTTCGTCTTGTTCAAATTTTGAAAAAGAAATTTTCCATCTGACAGATGAATGGTGCTATTCTGAATAATACAACCTGCGAAATGAATTCCGAAAAATGCTACCAGGCATTCAGGCGAGTCGGGAATGAGGTTACAAATGTAGCTTCCAGGCTTGATGCCAAGACGTTGCAGACTGGCACCGAACTGTCTTGAAAGATCATACACTTCTCTACTTGTTAAGGATGTTCTTAGCCCACCTTTTCCCACAAAAACATAAGCTTCTTTATTCGGCTGGGTTTCTGCCCAGTATCTTAGACGTGAGATAGTCGTTTCTGATTTTTCTGTGGGCTGCATGGTCTGAAACATAATATCCTACACATACAAACTTTATTCAAACTATTCATTTAAATTCATTTCTAGCCTTGACATGAATTGATGTTATTCACTACAAAATATGTTACCCCCGGGTAGTGTTAGTGATGCAGGTCGGGATGGGTGTGGGGGTGATGCCCTGACGTGAACGCAGCCTCTAGTCTTTCAGATGGGATATTAAACCATGGCCCCGTGTGCTGCAGTTGGAAATCGACAAAAGTAGACATATGCCGCGGTAAGGCAAAATTTCTCTCTTAATCCTTACACATTAAATGGATCGTCCTCATTTGCCAAATACGGTGCAGATAAGTAATACGATTTAGCTTTTATGCTTAAAAATGATTAAATTGGAAAATTGTTTAAAATTCAACCCACCTGAGTGTTAAGATTATGTGAGGGTGTAAATAAGTTTAGAAATCAAATTTAAATCCGATTGAAAAAGCTAAAAATAGAGTCCTCACTGACTAAAATAGATTGTGATATTTTCGTATAAACAATTATTAGCCAAATGTTTAAAAGACATATTTGTAAGTTAGAAATAGGGTAATTAAATACACTCTGTATTTAGAAAATATAATAAAAACATCGTCTTTTCCCTATTTTGGAAACATAACCATTGAAATTTAAAAAATTTCGGTTGGTATTTGGCTGTTTTGGTAATGTTCGCTGTGTAAAGGCACACATAGAGTTACCTCCCTTATGGAAATTGTGACGCCCGATTATCTGTAGGCCTATTAATCATTGGAATACCCAATTGGAGTTAATTATTGACTTCTGACACAAACGGTTATTTTTCCCAATCGTTAGAACACATTTGCTTTCGACTTAATTCAGTAATTCCAATAATGGAATATAACAATGCAAGCATTTACAGTGCTTTAAAGCCACCGTTCGTGAATTTCGGGGGTTATGTCTTGAATATATGCAAATAGTCTTCAGAAGTACTAGAAATGTACCCATAGTCCCTTCAAATTTACTTCAAACTATAAATTTTATTTTCTATTCTATGTTCTTTCTTCTGAACTTAAAGAAACGAAACACCTTTGATAAGGAAGATATAGCCTCTAGTCGTGCATGATCAAAATTGTTATTTTATTTTTTTCATTTTTTTTGCTTTGTATAGATTTTCATTCTTTTAAATCTCGACCCGAGTTATAACACTAAGATAATAACGCCTCATTCGCCGGCATCATCTGCATGGCAGATTCATCACAGGGGCACAGATAGCTCACCAGACTATTCGCCACTATCGGCGACCCATCGGTGCTAAACTCCAAGAACCCGACTGGTCGCTGTCCATACAGGAGTCCATGCTCACTTAATTCGCGGAATCAGCAGCGGAGGACCCACTTGTTCTCGAATGAGAGTCGTTACTGCCGCAGATGGCAGAGTAAAAGTGTAAAAGAAGATATGAATGTTTAACAGAACAGTGTGTGATTGGAAGAGATAGGGAGGAACAAGCATTATGATATAAAACTAAATACGGGAGTGCATAAAGGCTACTTGCACTTTTTTCTTACGTTATTGTTAGTGTTATTTATTACTTAAACTATATATTTCATATTTAATCTGAACTTTCTGAACTCATCCAGAGATAACTCCTTACCAAACCTACAACAGAAACGACGATCAGCCCACCGACAACAACTTGCTATGTTTCACTTTATCACTTTTAAGCTTGTAAAGTTTCTTTTGGCCCTCAATTTATTAGAGGTTAGGTATGATACAGATATTGATAGTGTTTAACTTAAATTTATAGTAGATTTCAGTATTTATATAGATATTGATAGTGTTTGACTCTAGTTTACAGTCATGATACAGATATCGATAGTCTTTGACTTTAGTTTACAGTAAACGTTAGTCATGATACAGATGTTGATGATGTTTGACTCTAGTTTACAGTAAAGGTTAGTCATGATACAGATGTTGATGGTGTTTGACTCTAGTTTACAGTGAAAGTTAGTAATGATACAGATGTTGATGGTGTTTGATTCTAGTTTACAGTAAAAGTTAGTCATGATACAGATGTTGATGATGTTTGATTCTAGTTTACAGTAAAAGTTAGTCATGATACAGATGTTGATGATGTTTGACTCTAGTTTTCAGTAAAAGTTAGTAATGATACAGATGTTGATGGTGTTTGACTCTAGTTTACAGTACAAGTTAGTAATGATACAGATGTTGATGGTATTTGATTCTAGTTTACAGTACAAGTTAGTAATGATACAGATGTTGATTGTGTTTGACTCTAGTTTACAGTAAAGGTTAGTAATGATAGAGATGTTGATGGTGTATGACTCTAGCTTACAGTAAAAGTTAGTAATGATACAGATGTTGATGTTTGACTCTAGTTTACAGTAAAAGTAAGTAATGATACAGATGTTGATGACGTTTGACTCTAGCTTACAGTAAAAGTTAGTAATGATGCAGATGTTGATGATGTTTGACTCTAGTTTACAGTACAAGTTAGTAATGATACAGATGTTGATGGGGTTTGACTCTAGCTTACAGTAAAAGTTAGTAATGATACAGGTGTTGATGATGTTTGACACTAGTTTACAGTACAAGTTAGTAATGATACAGATGTTGATGGTGTTTGACTCTAGTTTACAGTACAAGTTAGTAATGATACAGTTGTTGATGATGTTTGACTCTAGTTTACAGTACAAGTTAGTAATGATACAGATATTGATGGTGTTTGACTCTAGTTTACAGTAAAAGTTAGTAATGATACAGATGTTGATGATGTTTGACTCTAGTTTACAGTACAAGTTAGTAATGATACAGATGTTGATGGTGTTTGACTCTAGTTTACAGTACAAGTTAATAATGATACAGATGTTGATGATGTTTGACTCTAGTTTACAGTACAAGTTAGTAATGATACAGATATTGATAGTGTTTGACTCTAGTTTACAGTAAAAGTTAGTAATGATACATATATTGATGATGTTTGACTCTAGTTTACAGTGCAAGTTAGTAATGAGGCAGATGTTGATGGTGTTTAACTCTAGTTTACAGTAAAAGTTAGTAATGATACAGATGTTGATGATGTTTGACTCTAGTTTACAGTAAAGGTTAGTAATGATACAGATGTTGATGGTGTTTGACTCTAGTTTACAGTACAAGTTAGTAATAATACAGATGTTGATGATGTTTGACTTTAGTTTACAGTAAAAGTTAGTAATGATACAGATGTTGATGATGTTTGACTCTAGTTTACAGTACAAGTTAGTAATGATACAGATGTTGATGGTGTTTGACTCTAGTTTAAAGTACAAGTTAGTAATGATACAGATGTTGATGATGTTTGACTCTAGTTTACAGTAAAGGTTAGTAATGATACAGATGTTGATGATGTTTGACTGAATTATGTAGTAGTTGACTGGAGAGGAGTCGGGAACGATGGGAATGTAATGTAACTTGTTGTTTACTCGACAGTCGCTAATATCATTACCTCCCTTGAATCACTGACATGGACTCACTCCACTAATTCATTTGCCATCTCTTCCCATGTTAAAACACGAAATTCAACCTTCTATAACTTTTTCCAGAAATCTCGTTGAAAGCTTTCCAATATGTCGAATGAAAGCCTGACCAATTCTCAATGTCTCCTAAAAAATTCATTATATGATGACCATGAAAATTTTGAGCTACTAAAATTGAAAGTAGACTACTACCGGTTATACTCATCCGCTAGAGTTTGGCACTTCACAAAACGACTATTTTTAGAATTAGCCTTCCGCCTTTAGGTCTCTCATCATCTCACCAAATCTAGACCAAATTTTACCCCAAAAAAGGCAGGCAAAAACCCCAAAAGGGAGAGAGAAAGAAGATTTCTAAAAATAGCCTGGACTACATTCCTGTACAAATACAATCATTTGCATAAAATGTTTTAGTGGAGTGAGTCCACATAAATGAAGATTGAAATAGTTTGAAATATCGTAAATCTGGAAAAATCTGGGACAGACTGAGAAGCTCTCTGCTCTTGGACCATATAAGGTGAGCCGACCGTTAGCACATGCCGTGGCATCAGAATATTTCTTATTTTAAGTGATAAACAAATTGTATAGTTTGTG